GATGAGGGAAAGAGAGCTTGAAAGCTTTAAAAAAAAAAAAAACAAAACCAATACATTTTAAGCCAAATGAAGTATGAGAAATACTCAACTTAAAGACTTAAAAAAGCATTAGCAGTTCTTTCCTTTGTAAGGAAGCTGTCTGAAAGGTTTGAACGGCTGAGAATATGATTTGGACCCTACTCGACTCTTTCCTGAGACTGTTTTCCAGACAGGCCCAGCTGTTCTGGGGAGGAATCCAGTGGAGGCGTCAGTCCCCCTCACCCCCGGCCTCCTCCTCAGTCCCCAGCACCAGAGGCACTCCCAGAACCACTGGCTCCCCAGGTCCCCCCTCAGCCAGCCTCACCCCTGCCATTTTCCAGGGCTCGGACAAAGTCTCCACTTTCCATCCTAAAGGTCCAGTGAAGTAATTTAAAGTCAAGCTCTGATTTTAAATGTTTACAGTGTGGCTTCTCACCTCCTTCTTGCCATCACAGAAGTCCTGTCTCCGAGAGCAGTGATTCTCACCGCTGAGAGCACCAGAGGGACTTGCTAAAATATCCGTTCCTGGACCCCACCTCATGCCCATTCTGGTCTCACTGGTCTTGAATCTGCATTTTAATGAGCTCCCAAGGCAATCCTGATACTGGAAGGGCTCTGACTTCACTTTGAGAAATATCTAGAAGGAAATGGTGCCTCAGCCAGTACTTAGCTGCTGGGCTCATTCGCCCAGCTGTGCCCTCCCAATCTCCCCCTGCCGCACCTCCCGCCCCCCCCACCCCCCGTTAATAACGAACACAATGCCCCAGGCACTGCAGGGGCTCTGGGTCCAGTGGACGGATGGGGGAGGGATGGGAAGCCACGGCTGCTCAAGAAAGATGGACCCCAGCCAGAGGATTCCCAATTAACACAGCAAAGCAGGCTGGAAGAAAGCATCACGCTTCTTATAAAAATGTTTCTCTGAAAATGTGTCAACCAGAGCTGAGTCATTTTTAACTTAGAGACGCAATGTGCAACATGGACAACACAGCCACAAGACAGGCAGATCAGATGCAGGCTTGAGAGCCACGAGCTGCAAGTGAATGAAAACACATCCAATTCAGAATTAAATAAACATGGCTGGGCTCGCGGCCAAGGAGAGTTCTTAGATTGGACTTTTATCAAGGACCTAAATTTTAATCAGCTGCAACTTCTTCTTTTCCAAGTACCACCCTATTTCTTCCTACCTTTTGAGATGAAGTGTTTGCCTTAAATGGGAAACTTGCACTTCATTGTAAAGACGATGCCAGCATTCTGGCTTCCTGAATTCCTGAAGAAGCAGACTTTTGGGAGGGGAGGCAGTGGAAACTGAGTTTCAGGGATAATAGACCAGGGAAGGGGGTACCCCATTTAGGTAAGAAGGCAAGAAATGTTCCTTCCTCCTCCACTGCAGGAAAAGCCACTGAATAAAAACCTGTGGGAATAGATTTCTAATTCCTTGTTCCATGCATAGGCTTCTTAAAACAATGAGCAAGGCAAGGACAGGGAGGGGCGGGGGAACCTCTGTGCAAGTGACTGATATAAAGTTACACATCACAAACACAACCACTCCACTTCCAAGAAGCAAGCAGTTAAGACTGTCAAGGAGGATGCTGGCCCCTCTGGAAGTTTTACAACTTATTACTTCTATGAGAAAACTGTATTACTCAAAGGGCAACTTTACCTGGCAAGTGCCCTAAGAGACTTTGTTTTTAAAGCAGTCGAGGAAGTGTGCCCACAACTCATTTCTAAAACACTGAGATAGTATCAGCCCCTTAATTGCCCCACTAATAATGGGAGGTTGTGAAATCTGACCACTTAAACCAGGCTGGCTCCTCTGAGAGCAACCCCAAAGGGAGGGTTACAGCTGCTGAGGGTTAGCCGGCTCCAGTCACCTTGTGAGTCCTGGGAAAACACACATTCTTGCAGGGGCAAGAGTTCCTGGAACACCCGCTCCCTCCAGAGCCAGGGGGTCAATCGCTCAGTTCCTCCCCAGCACCCAGATCCTGCACCTCCTTCAGGGCTCACTCCTCTGCCCTGCTGTGCCTCTACCCTCCAGGTTCTGTGTGACCTAGACCCACAGGAAGCCTTCACTTGTTTGCATCACACAGCATCAATCAACCCCTACTGTGAGATGTGAGCACGGCCCCAAATAGACGGTAAGCAACCTCAGAACTGAGACCAAGGTCTATGGGTTGAACACTCACTGTCAGGTAGGTCACATGGAGATGAATCAGATACCAAAGTAGCAGTACATCAGTACTTACTGGCCAGCCCTCTGACAAAGCAACTTCTGGAAAAATTCACCTAGGGAGGTAGCGGGAGAGGGGGCTTCCTGCAGGAAGTGATGCTGGAGCTGAGAGGGGAGGCTGAGGTGTGAAGAGAAGGAACACAGGCGGGAACAGCATGTACAAAAACCTGCTGTGGGGAAGACACTGCAGCCCGCTGCTCTGATCTTCACCCCTCCCCTTCCCCCTTCTTAAAATCTATCACTTAATACAGGATTTAGCAGGAAGACTGCGAGGTCTAATTGGGTTCATCCAAGATTTACAGTGCATCAGGCCCTGAGCCCACCAACAAGAGGTTAAGTGCCTGGCTAAGGGAACTAGTCTGAAGACACAGATGGGAACACATACTGACAATGCAGTCTGATGAGAGCCAAAGGCAAGGACTTGCAAGAGAAGGCGAAGCAAGAGGAATAGCATTCAGAGAGGGCCTCCTTGAGGAAGCATCACCTGAGCAGAGTCTTGGGCCCATGGGGCTCTCAGGGGAGGAAAAGGCACCCCAGGAGCAGGGAAGCAGCGTCCCCTCGGCAGCATCATAGGCACAGGAGTTAGGGAGCAGGGTGGGAGGGGCAGGTGGAGGCTGGGAAGGTGAGTATGTGAGGCAGGTGGGTGAGCTGGGCTCCGTGCATCAAAGAGCAAGTCCAGGAAAGAAGGTGCCAGGTATTAGGTTGGGGAGAGCCCGGAATCCAGGAGGTGACCCTGAGACTTCCATGCTCATTTAGGAAGTCAGTGAAGATGACCCCAAGGGAAGGATTGTGGGACCAAGGTTAAGAGCTGTTGAGAAGGTTACCTCCAGCATGAATGCAAAGCCACTGGAGCGAGGTTCAGGATGGGGAACACATGTACACCCATGGTGGATTCACATCAATGTATGGCAAAACCAATACAATATTGTAAAGTAAATAAATAAATAAGTAAATAAAACCGAGATGAAAAAACAATAACAACAATGTGGGTGCAGGTTAAGGGAGAACAGATTCTTACTGAGAGCGCAAAGCCACTAGCTCGGCTCCTTTAGGGACCTGCTATACCCACAGCATTAAAACTTCACACAGTTGGTGAATGGATACACGAAGCCACCTGGGCAACTGCAGAAAAACAGCAAATTACACTGACCCACCTATGCCATCTTATGAAATAGAAAATGCCAGTGATGCTGTTTACCCAAACACCAACATACCAGTTTAGAGATAAAAAATTTAAAAACTGGGAAGTCAATGTGAGGATAGTCTTAAGGAAAACTTTTAAAACCTAAAAACAGGAAAACTTGGTATCTACTGGGAAAAAAAAAAAAGAATAGTGGTATTATACTAAAATGGAGCAAAGTAGGAAAATACAATGTTTTACTCAAATAAGGAGGTTTTGTTCACTACGGGGTGCATGAGAAGGTGGGTGATAGCTGTCTACACTGCAGCCATTGGGTTTGAAGACATTTCAGCTTACCCGGCTGGTACCTAGTCTTCCTCGCTGTGTTTCTCTGAAGGCAGGGCAAGTGACGTGAAGGCACCAGCCTGTGGTCCTAAAGGGGTGTCAGTTCTAGGCCGTGACTGCTTGAGGCCCATTCACAGTACCCCACAAAAGGTGAATGAGCACTGCTCTAAGAGATCTACCCCCTACCCTTCCCTCAGAGAAGCAGTGCTAGGGAAGCTAGGAAATCCCCATTTACTCCCATTTCCCAAGTGAAGAATCGAGGCTCAAAGCTGCCCAGGAAAAGAGGCAAGGTCATGTTTGTGGCTGCCTGAGTGCAAAGCCGTGTCCTCTCCACAAAGCTGAAGGCGGTGAGTGCCCACAAGCCAGGTTGATCCTGGCTTGGGTGGGAGGGGAGCCGGGGTCAGATGGATACAGTCTCCAAGTCCTCGCGCTCCCCAAACCCAGGAGCACTGCTGGGGAGCTGGGATGGCAAGCTTCCAGAGCACAACCCCCTCCCATGTCCCACCGCTCAGATGGCGTCCAAGAGGATGGTTAGGGGCAGACGGCTCCCAACACAGGACGAACGACGCTACCCCTCTGCTCTCAGACACCTGACCGAGCTGACAAACTCACTCCTCCCTTTGGTCATGAAAAATATCTGCAACTTAAGCGGGGTCGGGGTGTGAGTGGGTGCGAGAGTGTCATCTGAGAGACCATCCGCTAGGCAAAGGGCTGAAAGCAAACGCAAACAGGAGTCTTGAGCTGGGGTGAAAGTGGGGTAAGATGGCCTGGCCCAGAAGGAACAAAGCAGTCCCGAGAACGGGGCGCACCGCTGCCCAGCATTCAGGGTCCCCTGCCTGGCGGTCCCGGACCTTTGCAGAGCTGAGGACCGGAGGTTCGGGGGAAGACCCTTCTCCCGACTCCCGCTCCAAAGCGCCCCCCTTTCGGACAGCGCGGAGGAGCCTATCCCGGGGGCGCGCTGCCCTGAGGCCCCAGGCCTGGAACAAAGGGTGGGGCGCCCTCCTCCCGCCCGCCGCCGGGCGCCCCTCTCGCCCGCCCGGCTGGAGCCGGACCCCAGCCCGTGGCCGCGCCTCATTAGCAACACAAAGCCGGGGGTCGGGTGGCCTCTTTCAACCCAGCCGGGGGCAGCCGGACGCGCGCCCCGGGAGGGAGGCAGGAGGGCGGGAGCAGACGGGATCCCAGCCCTGTCGCGCACGCCACGGACGGAGAGCAGGCAGGTCGGCGTGAGCTCCGCTGCCCGCGAGCACCTGTGCCCCCCGCGCTCTGGGGGACAGCGAGACCTCTCCTTACCCTCCAGCCACAGGTGTCGGCGCCCCGCGCTCTGCTGGAGCCGCCTGCGGCCACGGCCAGCTGCGAGCCGTTGAGGCAGGCGTTGACCGTGAAGAAGACCGAGCAGAGCTGCAGCCACGGGGCCATGGCCGTGCGCTCGCCCAGCCGGGCCCTACTCTGCTCCCGGGCCGCCTGCCGCTGGCCAGCCCGGAGTGGGCGGTGGCGCCGGCAGCCGCGGCGGAGCGGGCAGCACCTCTGGGCATGCGCTGCGGACCCCAGCCCCGCCCCTTCCCCCGGGGCCCGCCCCTAGGCTCGAACTTCAGGTTTGGCCCCGCCCCCCAGGTCTGGCTTGGTGACTGCAGCCAAGAAATTAAAAGATGCTTGAACCTTGGAAGAAAAGCTATGACAAACCTAGACAGCGTATTAAAAAGCAGAGACAAAAAAAAAAAAAAAGCAGAGACATTACTTTGCCGACAAAGTATAGTCAAAGTTACGGTTTTTCCAGTAGTCATGTACGGATGTGAGAATTGGATCATAAAGAAGGCTGAGCGCGGAAGAATTCATGCTTTTGAGAAGACTGTTGAGAGTCCCTTGGGCAGCAAGGAGATCAAACTAGTCAATCCTAAAGGAAATCAACCCTGAATATTCATTGGAAGGAATGATGCTGAAGCTGAAGCTCCAGTACTTTGGCCACCTGATTAGAACAGCCAACTGACTACACTGGAAAAGACCCTGATGGTAGGAAAGATTGAGGGCAGGAGGAAAAGGGGGCGACAGGGGATGAGATGGTTGGATGGTATCAATGACTCAATGGACATGAGTTTGAGCAAGCTCCAGAAGATAGTAAAGGGCAGGAAACCCTGGCACGCTGCTGTCCACGGATCGCAGAGAATTGGACATGACTTAGTGACTGAACAACTCTCCTTTTCGGCCCCACCAGGATCTCTAAGCCATGCCCCTACAGTCAAACTCCAGTTGACTTTTGAGGAGCCAACAGCTGCAGTTTTTTCCCGACCTGAAAGGTTTTTTTTTTTAATCGAAAGTTTTTTTTTCCATGTGATACCTGCTCCCTGCAAAACTCAGGAAACCCCCCAAAATATGATAATAATGTTTAAATAATAATTTACAACCACCTCTTGAATCCTCCCAAACACACCTAAAAGCATATTACTGTTATCCCAGTTTTCAGCATGGAAAAGCTAAGGTAATGAATGTGGTGGTTAGAGAAATCCTGTCTGAGACCTCAGACAGATGACTTGTTCTCTTCCCATTATTGTTCCTTACCCCCACGGAAAACTGGTATAACAGAGTAAGTGTCTTATGCTGGGGAGGATTCTATTGGTTAACACAAACAAGTATTCAACAAATGCTACAATCTACTATTAACTCCCTCAGATAAAGTCACACAGCTGGTACCTGCCAGACATGAGATTCAAATCCAGATTAGCAAAAACAATACTATTAACCACTACACTTGTCAGACTTTAACTCTTGTGAAGTGGATAGTACCTCTGCTTGGAAAAGGAAGCTGAGGCTGGGAGAAGTGGAGTAACCAAGATCCCCTAACTTCGCCACAAGCCCCCTTCCCCTTTGTCTTGCCTCTGTGCCCTTGAATCCTGTCTCTTCACATTTCTCCATTGCCCTGTCCCTCATATATGCTACCACCCCCTCCTTCTCCACAACAGCTTCCAAAGGGCTTTTCTTGCTTCCACTTTTGTCCCAAATACAATGCATTTCTCCACCTTGGATCCAGAGTGGGCCCTAAAAAGGTGTCAGACCACTGTCTTCTCCTGATTAAAAATCTTCTGCAGTGGTTTTTATTCAATGGCATTTGGAATAAAATCTGTCCTGACCTCTTCCTCTCCCGTGTTCTCTCTTCCTACTCTGCCTTCACTACTTGGCTCCAGCTATAATGATCTCCCCGCTCAACCTCATCTTGATTTTCCTGTCTCAGTCAACCTTAAAGACTCTCACCTCTGCCAGTCCAATAAGGCAGTCTCCTCTACATGACCCTCTCCTCCTTCCAGGGCCCAGAATCTCCCCAATCTCCTATATGCCTGGCCTTCATGTGGTGACAGACAGCTCAGCTGCTGCTAAAACTGGGTCCCTGTATTTTCCATTGTGGCTCCACCACACCCTGCCCATACCTTGAACTTAAGACTCTGCAGAGGCAGGGTGGCCCCTCAGCTCTGTAAGCTGCCCTCATGGAGACAAGTGGGCTAGAAGAACTCCTAGCGACTGACTTTGGGACCAGGGAGCTGAGCTAGCATCACCTGAACTGGAGGCTGGAAGTGGGACAGTGGTTGCCCAAAGAAGAACCTGGTGTTGCCGCCAGAGAAAGAAAGGGAGGATGGGTACTGGGTTCCCAAATTACAACATCCACCAGAAGACTCAGGTGCTGGAATTTCCTGTTCATGTGCATCACTGGACAGGGAAATGTTTTATTTTTCATCTCATCGCCAGGATATTCAGGAATTCAGCCAAACCCAGCATCACACTTCTTTGGTCATCCAGAAGAACCAGGATCCACAGAAGGCTAACTCCAGGGTGGTGGCCTTCTCTGAATAGACCTCATGCAGACTGCAAGGAGATCAAACTAGTCAATCCTTAAGGAAACCAGTCCTGAATATTCACTGGAAGCACCGATGCTGAAGGTGAAACTCCAATACTTTGGACACCTGATGCAAAGAGCTGACTCACTAGAAAAGACCCTGATGGTGGGAAAGACTGAAGGCAGGAGGAGAAGGGGCCAACAGAGGATGAGACGGTTGGATGGCATCACCAACTTGATGGACATAAGTTTGAGCAAGCTCCAGGAGTTGGTGATGGACAGGGAAGTCTGGTGTACTGAATTCCACAAGGTCACAAAGAGTCAGACACTATTGAGCAGCTGAACTGAACAGAACTGAACTCCCTGGTAGGCCAATGGCTAAGATTTTTCCCTTCCAAAGCAGGGGCCCTGTGTTCAATCCCTGGTCAGGGAACTAGATCCCACATGCTGCAACAGAGAGTTTGCAGTTAAAGTGCTACAGCTAAAGATCCCATAGGCTGAAATGAAGATTGAAGACCCCAGGTACCAAAACTAGGACCCAGTGCACAGCCAAATATTTTTTCTTACATCGCCAAACTGCTCAACATCTCACAGTAGTCTTAACTGGCTTTTCTAGTTGCTAATGAGCTGAACCATGTGCTCATGTACTTAGAGACCATTTCCATTTCTTTCTTTCTTCCAGAGTTGGACCCCAGAAAGAGGATCAGTATTTGGAGCTTATGATAGAGGGAGTCTTACGAAGTGGGAAGCAGGGGAGAAGAGAGCATTTCTTCCCAAGTTTCACTCACATCACCAATCACCACATGACTGAGTGACTGGGGAAGGGTCTTACATCCTTTCTAGTCTCCATACCTGCTCACTTTTGAGTTCCCTCCTGCCCACAGTTCGCTGCCCCATCTGGTAACTGATGGCCTCTCAAAAGATGCTACAGAATTCAGAGAGTGCTCCAACTTTTCTAAAGGAGAACAGAGGGCACAAGAAAGAAAAAGCCTCCGTGTCTAGTCTAAAATATGGTTAGAATGATATCTCTCCAGACCAGGGACTGAGAGGCCCTTCTGTTTGCTTTCTAGGGAGGCCCTAAGCATGCATGTGGGGGGCGGGGTGGGACAGGAGAACCACATACATCAAAGGGTCAGATTTGGTCAGGAAATAAAGGCAATAAATTGGCATTTGGCAACATCTGCCCATACTGGTCTTCTTCAGTGATTCTTTTCCTTTCATCCCCTTTTTATTGTGACCCTTTAGAATATTTGTGCGGCTGCAGGAAATGAGCCTCTATACTAGAAACAGGTAAAATGAGGGGGGTTGGATCCCCTCAAGGCCTCCATGGGCCATCCTTCCCCTAGGCCACAGCAGAGCCCAGTTTTGTAGGTGACCAGAGGATGAACAGCCCTCCCCACTAACAATGTAACACATGATCTTCCTGGTATCACCCACCATGGCTAGGACTGTCTGTGGCCCAGTCACAATTTATGCCGCCCCTCACCATCCCTGTCTGCTTCGCCTCCCTGCCTCCAGTGCCCTGTACTCTGCCTGACACACATCAGTGGGCGAGGAACTGCGGCTGCCTCCATCTCTACTTGGAATGAAAGCTGGGGATTAAACAGATTAAGTCACCTTAAATTGCTGATGAAATGCAAATAAATATATTTTCCCCAGTATACCTAGAACCTAACCAGATAAGGGAAAAAAAAAAAATCCTTAACACAAGGATTGGATTTTGTTAGGAGTCAAATTACCCCCTGAAACATAAGAAAGGATAAAGTGATTGTGCAAACAATTCGTATCCTGAGTCATTTTCAGCTGAAAAGGACTAGAAACCATTTTAATGAACTGTAGTTAGAAGCGGAAGGGCCAAAATTCTAACATTTTTGGTATTGTGATGTCTATGTGTTATGCACTAATCCAGGCACTAAAGGTAAGGTGTGTCCTCCACCCCGTGTCCCAGCAGACTGAGGGCGCTACTTTCCCTGGGCTTTGGGGAGAGCAGTAGGAGGAGCACCGGTGCCCTCCTGAGAGTTCCACCGATGCCAGTCCATCTCCGGACAGTCTTGGCTAGAACTGAGTAGCTGTCATCATTTCCACTTCACAGATGGGGAAGCCGAGACTCGGCCAGGAGCTCCCAGACTCATCTGATCCCCAAACTTTGCCTGGGGCGCTGGTCCGCATTCTTCCCAAGCCGGCACTGGCGCCGCTCAGATTGCCCAGAGGCCCGGGGCGGGGACGCGCGGAGGACCCGGAGCGGAAGACCCAACCCCGCGCCCCGAAATCCCCGGACACGCATCTTAAGTGCCGTGGCCACTACAAGGGGTTCACGCGTCCACTGCCACTTCCCGTTTCTTTTGAAGCGCGGGAGCCCAGTCTGCAATGTAGCCGCGAGAGGGCGCGCGTGGTGCAGGTTGGAGACGCCCAGACAATCTCGGACGCGCAGCCGCGAGGACGGTATATTTTAGGGCAAAGCCGCGGTGCAGGTGCAAATACTCGCTGGGTTACGTAAAGCTGGTGCTATGTAAGGGTGCAAGTAGAGTTCAGGAGGCGGTAAGAAAACAAGGTTAAATATTGGCTTTCAGTAACCATGTGGCTTTGGGCAATTGAC